GGAGCTCATTAGAAATCCTGTCTGTAACACTCATGGCTGTGAAATTTCCTCTGACTTAAATAAGGCTAGCCAACAATAAATAAATTATGTTTACAGTACAAAGCAATTGAAAAAGCTGTTAAAATATGTATATATATAAATACACACAGATATATATTTATATTTAAAATACATTACATACATATTTGCAATTCAGAGATGAACAGGTTTTTAGATCCTAGGAATTACACAATTTGTCAGGCTCTGTTAAAAAAGATATTATAACAATAAAATGCTCTCACATGACCACTCACCACCACCCTGCATAAAGGAAAGTATATGAGTGTTGGGGTGGCAGGTGGGGCAGGTGGAAAGATGTAGCAGTCTTAACCAATTGTGGTTCAAGTATTTATTTTATTAAATTTTGAAAAAATGTATAACCCTTCTCAGGGCCTTGGCAAGGGTCCCGATGCCTCCACTTTGCCACAATTGCAGCCCTATCCAAAAAGCAGAGAATAAAGGAGTGTTGATTCCCTTAGGAAATTTTGGATATAAGTTAACAGGGAAAAGAAGCTGGCCCTTCACACACATGTTAGTAGTGAAAATAAAAAGGATATGCACAGAGGGAACTGCCTGTTGTGTGTCTGGCACCCCCAGGCACTGGTCACTCCCTGCAGGGCCTTGTTCCAACCACAGGACAGTCTCATGAGCCTTCTGCATGCTCAGGACATAGTTGCCTGTGATTTCTCTGAGAACCTGTCACTCAGAGCAGGGAGAATGACAACAATGGGCAAGGCATACTATTTTGTAATTAAAGGAAATGGATTTGACTTAGTGAAAATATGGTTATACAGCACATGATCACAACTACTTTTTTAAACACCCTGAAAGAAAATATGGAGAAGTACACTCAAATGTGCTAACTATAGATGCCTTTGGGTGATGGAACTATGGGTAATTTTTTTAACTTCCCCCTCACGTTTTATTTAATAAGCATATGTCTTTAAAATGGAAATTGAATTTCAAAATATGTTTAGAAAAAATGCATTAACTTCATATATATAAATAGACACAGGTATATACATTAATTAATGCAAGCAATGT